TTTGGAGGAGCGGCAGTACGATTACGTCGAAGTGATGGCGTGCCCCGGGGGGTGCGTGAACGGGGGTGGTCAGGTGAAGCCGCGTGTGATGGGCAGGGACGAAGAGAAGTTGGAGGAGGGGAGCGTGAGTGTGGAGGGGATGCAGGGTGCGAAATGGGGGGACAGGGATTGGACGAGTAGGGTGGAGGAGGCGTACTGGATGGGGGCGAGCGTGCACGATTTGCCGACACCGCCTGACACGCCCCCGCACCACGCGTCACAGGAGCTGGAGAGGGTGGTGGGGGAGCTGTGTGGGCAAGACGGCGAGCGGCGGAAAGAGCTGTTGCGGACGTCGTACCGGGCTGTTGAGAGCGAGGTTGTGGGACTGGCGGTCAAGTGGTAGGAAATAGTAATACTAGATTATAATGGGTACAGAGGACTATCTGCGTGCGCCGGGGCCGTTGTACCAGTACTCGCACTGCGGACAGTAAGCCGGTGTGCGGAGAGTTATAGTCTCGCGGGCGTCTGGGTCGTAGTACTGCGGGCGGTCAGCGAGGGGTGGGGGGCGAGGAGGAGGAGGAACGCACGCGTTTGCACTGGGGACAGGATGGGCAGTTCTGTGGATGGCGGTCCGAGTATATGCAGTATTTGTTGTTGCAGTCTTCACGGGCGACCTTGCGGGTGATGACATAGTGGCCGCAGCCGTGCTGGGTTCCTTCGCTGTGGGCGGTCAGTGAGCGAAGTGAATGCGGTGGATGCGGGGGGACTGACGTATGAAGGCGGCACATGGGAGATATCGAATGCAGGCGACATGACGCCCTTTTATTCATTCCGGCCACCAAACATGCCACGCCCCTCTCTCCGTCCTCCATGCCCACCACCCGCTCCCGCACCGGCCTCTTCCTCTCCTACCGCAACTCTCGCCCGCCTACCAACACACGCCACCCCCTCTACGACGACGAGCACCACAGCCTCATCCCACACAACCATGTCGCACTCGACATCCCCGTCCTCCCTCCCGTCTGGTGTGCCCCGTTCTTCCGTGTCCACCTGCCCTCCTGATGCCCAATCTCCGTAGGGTCGATATCTCGGATCAAGTAGAGGACCTCCTGGCCAATGCCCAAGCGAAGAGTCCGTTTCCTATCCCTGCTCCCCTCCACTCCAACTCACCACCCTCCTCTCCAGTCCACTCCCTCGACAAGCTTCACGCCAAACATGTCCTTCCGGGCTTCTCAGACCGCTCCCAGGAGGAACGCGACATCGAGGCCCTCACAACTGACATCACACGAGTCCGTCCTCAAGCTTTTTTTCACATTCATTTCCCTCACTCGGCATCACAAGGACTTTCGCCGCTGCCAATCCCTCATCCAGAACATATCCTCCAACCAACATCCATTCCCTCCAATCCAGTCCCACCAGTCCCGCGCCGCCAAAAATGTCCAGCGTGGCCTCGCTGCAAAGGTCCAGGATCTCAGCGCCACCTTCCGCAAGAAGCAACGTGTCTACATGGAAAGTGCGTGTCCCCTCTTATTCAGGTTATTGCGCCTCATTTATTCTGCTCTTTCGCCCCTTCCGTACATCCCCTCCTCGATTATCGCAAATCGATCCGCGTCACGCGTCCCTCCCCACACCCTCCTTTCCCCGCACGCGAAATTAAACACGCAGAGCTCCAAGGTCATGCGGCCAAGAATCAAGATCTCCTCGTCGCTTCTGGCGCCGTGTCCCTGCGAGGTTCCGAAGGCATGAACGCCGTCGATGACGATATCCAAGCTGCCGTGCGTCTCCTCCCTTTTCTTATCATGATCATCGCCTCTCAACTCGCTCCTTTCGCCGTCCTATCTCCCGCGCAATCAGTCGCACACGAGGGCCCAGTCCCAGTCCCAGCTCTTGCTCAATGCAGGCCCGTCCCATGAGCTGCAAGCACGCGAACGAGAACTCACCGAGATTGCAAAATCGATCGCCTCCCTGGCCGAGCTCTTCAAGGACCTCTCCGTCCTCGTCATCGATCAGGGCACCCTGCTCGACAGCGTCGAGTACAACATCGAGCAGACAGCCGTCCATATGGAAGATGCCGTGCAGGAGCTCAAAGTCGCCACTCGGTTCGTGTCCATCGATGCTTTTAGGATTCACACAAAGCATGCTAAACTTTGCTTCAGGTACCAGAAGAGCACAGGGAAGCGGAAATGCATCTTCCTGCTGCTTCTCATCATCTTTGGCTTGATCCTTGTCCTCATCTTCAAACCTCGACGACACCACGCGCAGGCGCCTCCTCCCCCAACAGTATCTATTCTTCCCATTGGCCCCATACCCCCAAGACGGACTGGTGATTCTTCTGTATTTACGAGACGGCTTTCTTCTCGGACTAGACCACGATATCTTATCCCATAGACCGTCGACCTAATGATGACGACATGCGTCCTTCGGGACAGACCTGCTCCGACGTCCGAGACTCCGGATCGTCGCCGCTGCCATGACAGCGACCGATTTCAATGAATGTTGTGATGCTCTCCATAACACCCAGGTGGCGCATTGTGTCAAGACAAAATCGTCGTGCTCCTCGTCAAAAAAATTGAAGTGTTGAGCAATGAATGGAGTCGACGCTGACAAGAAAAAAACGCTCCTCTAATTCCAAATCCTGCGAACCGGACCCCGCATCAGCCCGTATTTTTAGCCTGAAGAGGCTTCCGAACGAAATATCCATAGAGCCTCGGTTGAGCCTTATGGCAATCGCAACAAGCGAGAGAACAGCGACTCAGGAGCTCTGCAAATAAAAGCACCCCTCTCTCTCCTTGTCAACGACCACGACGTCCAACGGTCGCTTGATGCCGCAAAAGCCGACGTCCCAGTTCCAGCTCACCCAGTTCCCCAACACCGAGGAAGACCGCCTGCTCCCTGCCCCGGACAGTCGCGTCGAGTCGACAGGCGAGAGAAATTATAGCCGCCCGGAGCAGTTTCCCGATCCTGCCGCGGATCCTGCAAGAGGAAATAATTTAGACACTGACGGAAGAAACGTGCAGGGTCAAGCCACAACTGCAGGCTTCAACAGCCACCACCACGAGCACGGGCAGAACTACGACCGCGAGCGCGACGACTCGTACACCTACTCCGTCGACTCGCATACCCACCTCCGGCCGACGCCTTCCGCCACATCTTCATCCACCGGTGCTGCTGCCGCCCACCCACCGCCTCCGAGATACTCGAGCCCACATATGCCGTACCCGCCGCGCCCACCGCTGGACCACCACGAGACGAGCTCCGGATCCGCGTCCGGGTGGAGGAGGGACACAGAGCAGGGGTACCAGGAGCTCCGCGCGAATCATGGCAGTCCCATGCCTGGGCCTCAAGATAGTGCTGGTACTGGGTACGGCGTGAACATGAGCACGAGTGAGACGCATCTGATATACCCTGATGGGGAGCCACCCAAGACGAAGGTGCGTCATCTGGATGTTGACGTCGACGTTGAGAGTGGAGGATTAACCGAGCCTTTCCCTCCTTTTGCGCTAGGTCGGGAAGCTATACTCGTACCTGCTGACGGTGTCCATCATCACACGGTGGATCCTCTTCATCGTCCCCATCCTTGGGATTATCTGGATTCCGGGCATCCTCGATTTGACTACATCGACGGAGAAGAGGGTGTGTGCCTTTGTCTCCTTTTCTTTGAGCAACGGTTCAACGGATCGTTGGTTCGCGTTCGTTTAGCTATGGGGAGTCAGGCTGATCTGGTGGAGTATCTGGTTGAGTGTCCTCTGGGGAGGTACGTGTTTTTCGGGTGCTCTTTGGTTTTGCTTGTATCTGACTGAGTTGTAGGATGGTGGGCCGCGCTTGCTGTTGCGTGAGCAACCTTTCTTATGTTATTCCGCTTTGATCTTTGGCTAACCTCTGGCGTTTTGCACTCTAGTCGTATTGTACCAGGAATTGTCAGATCTACGGTCGGTGTCGTCGCCGTCAGCACGAGGCGCTACATCGATTGGATGCAAGCACTACATAGGCGCGTCTCAAACTCTCAGCAGAATAGCCCCTATCTAACAACCGCTCAGATATATCGCGTTGTTCGCATGGGCTCTGGCCAATTGGGTTTCCTTCAACCCTTTAATCGACAACCACCAAGCCGAAGGCACCGGCCAAAAAAGCGTGAATGCCGTCGACCTCATCGCGAAGATCCTCTTCGGCGTCTTCCTCTGCACAGCCGTCCTTCTGTTCGAGAAATTCGCGATTCAGTGGATCGCTGGCAAGTTCCACGAACGGTCTTATGCTGGTTCGTCCGTCTGTTTTTTCTTGGCCCACGTTTTCATCCGGGACTCTTTATAACAGAGCGTATTGCTGACCAAAAGGCCGCGGTCAAAACCCTGGTCGCGCTTTATAAACACTCTATTGACGTCCCAGGGCGAACGGACACATTAGGCCCGGCTAATATCAAGAACACCATTACGAACCCACGTCGCATCTTCCGCAAGCTGAGGGAAGGTGTGCGATTCGCGACCACTACGACGGCTACGGTCTTCGGAAACGTCGCCTCCGAGATCGCTGGAAGGTAAATCCCTCTTCCACTTCCACGGACGTACGCATACGTCTCGGAACCACAGCCCACTTATCGCTCCTCTCTTTTCCAACCCAGCTCCGTGCTCCAACCCAACTCTCCGCAAGCAGTGATCAAAACGGCGCTGGAATCAGCGAACAAATCGCGTCTCGTATGTCTGCGTTCTCTGTTCCTATCCGCAATGTCCTCGGGTTTTGATGCCTCCTTGGATGCATATAGCTCGCGAGACGCCTATTCTATTCATTTGCTAAAAACGGTGCCGACTTCTTGATTGTGGAAGATATTGAGCGGTATTTCCCGACGAAGGAAGATGCAGTCACTGCGTTTACCCTCTTTGACAAGGATAGCAATGGGGACGTCTCGATGGAGGAGGTGGAGATGGCTTGCCTGTATGATTGCGTTCTTTTTGAGGAGCCGAGGCCCTGTTCATTCATGCTGCTTTTCCAGGGAATTCCACCGTGAACAGCTCTCGATCGAGAACTCGATGCGCGATTTGGACAGTGCTGTTGGTCGCTTGGACAATATCCTTATGTCGCTTTACGTCGTGGTCGCCATTCTCATCATCGCCGTCGTTTTGGTGATTCTCCCTCTGTCTTCACCTTCAACCCACTGAAGCTAATGGATCTATCTTCGCATTATAGGACGCGTCAGTGACGACCCTCGTTACAGGTGCCGGCACCTTGGTTCTCGGTGCGTCTATAGTCGGTTTTATCTATTCATAACCTTCTCATCTCCCTGCAGGTCTCAGCTGGCTCATCGGTGGGAGTCTGCAAGAAGTCCTGACGAGTATCATATTCTTGTTCATCAAACATCCGTTCGATGTCGGCGACAGAGTCGTACTAAATAAGGACACCTACACCGTCAAGGAGATTCGTCTTTTGTCGACCGTGTTCCTCGACTCTAATTCGGCTTGTGTGCAAGCCCCGAACATGCAGCTGAATACCTTGGTAAGAGACTGGATTTTGAGTTGGTGGAGCTAGGCTAAAGGACCCGTAAAGTTTATTCAAAACGTCCGTCGAAGTCCTCAGGTAAGGAGCTTTAAAGCATATACCCCACCTGGATGGAGTATCTGACCGCTTTTAATAGATGTCGGAAACCTTCACTTTCGATGTTTCCTATTCGACTTCTTTTGAAGATCTTGAGAGGCTGCGTGAGAGGATGCTTGACTTTGTCAAAGCCGAGAGAAGAGACTACCAACCTGTCTTCGATGTCACAGTCAAAGGTGAGCCTCTCATCCAAAGTAGCGTGTCAGATACAGTTTGAATTGATTAACCATCCACAGATTTCCCCGAGCAAACCAAAATGACGTTATCTGCCGACATCAAGTATAAGAGTAATGGGCAGCACGGTGCCCTCAAAGGTTAGCCCCAAGCGTACTGTTTCCATACATGACCCTTAACTGACACTATCCCCTCTTGTCCAGCTAAACGACGGAACAAATGGATATGCGCTCTCAAAACGGTTTTAGCGGACCTCAAGATCTACGGTCCTGCCGGAGACCCGGATGCTGCTGCTGGAGTCGCTCGTTACACCAAAGTCCCATGGGACCTTATCGATGCGCAAGATCAGGCTGACCGCGCAAAGGCCGAACGTCTGGGACCAGAACCGCGTCCGATGATGGCCGGATGGAAATTGGACGACAAGAATGCAGCTATTTGTATGTTTTCTTTTCTCCTCCAGGAAATCTATGCTTCGGATCCTAATCGTCTATTTCAATGGGGTAGTGGACAGCGCGGATGTCGTGTTTGGAGAATCATCTGAGGTGAGTTAGACTCTGTTAATTGCCTTTGGCTCAAGGTTGTTCACCGTGATTTCTGCTTTTCCAGCTGCATCTTACGAATCCTCGACGTGGATTGTCGCAGACGAACGTGGAAGGCCTACCCGCTGGCCACCACGTCACCTTCAGAGGCCCACCGCAAACCGGTCCTCCAGCCGCCGCGGATGTGTTTGAGATGAGGACGCGAACTTAGAAAATTAATAGCCCGCTTCAAACAGGTGCACTGCTGCACCGCTACTACTGATCTTTGAAAAATCTAGGCCCTAGGACGGAACCACTAACCCATTTGTCAAAAGCATGGACTACATTTATCTAAACTACATATACATATATTTTTAGAGAATCTATGAATTCCACCCATTCGTTTGACGCGATGGACTTGCCCACCCAGTGGTAGTGGCGGCAGCAGTGGCACTACCACTGCCCCATCCGCTGGTGGCACCACCGTCGCTCCCGGATCTGGCCCATCCACTAGTGGCACCACCGTCACTGCCGGATCCCCATTGACTGGCATTTCCACGACTGGTTGTCGGCCAACCTCCCGTCGATGCCCCAGCACCCCAGGCACTCTGCTGACCACCACCAGCCCAACTTGGCTCTGCTGCTGGGACATGGCCATTGACTTGGGGGTCATTGGCCAGAATCTCACCATCTGGCTGCTTTTTGAGTCCCAAAATAAGATTCGCAAGTTTTGTCTGAAGTTCCGCCAGTCCCTAGAGCAAAAATGTCCAGGCTCCAAAAATTAGCTAGGATTAGGATTGTCACTTACCCGCATGACCACTTCCTGCGGGCCCAGGCTACCGTCAGTCTCCACTTCGAAATAAAATTTGTTTGGTTTTGCGTTGAAGTCAAAAGCTTCATCTTCGCGTGGAGGTTCTTCTTCCAAGGCATTTTCACTCAGCGGCCATTCCTCCTTGATACTCTTCTCGTACCAATGGGTCGTGTGTCGCAGCTTGTTGTGGGGGTCATACTCAAAAGAGACTGCAGAGCAAGGTGACCATTTCGCGTGCTCCTTCGCGATGCCCTTACGGATAATAGAATGAGACGGAGACAAGTTTAAGTTTGGATGGACAGCTATCTGACCTTTTTAGCCGTGCACTTCATTTTGAGCTCCTGGCCTTTTCGAATCTTACAAATGAGAACCGGTGGGACACCAGGTTCGTCTATCCAGCGACCATATCGTTAGAGGATTCGTTTATACATAGTCAAAGAAGACGCACGTTTCCCAACTGGTTGACCAAATAGTTCCCCTCGCTGCGCAAGCTCTTCTCCGGGTTCTGGATTCTGCTGCTCCGGATCTGTTGGAAAAGGAACTAAATCGAGGTGGTCGCTTGTCACATCCATTGTGTTGTCGTCGTGGCATGCAACATTCAGGTGCAACATCAGAGAGCAGTATGGGCATCCCGCGAGACATGTGCAGTCCTGGAAAAGGCATGAAGGGTATCTGGACACGGAGTTTCGGAGAGCTCACTCTCGTATACTTGATAGCTTCTTCGCAATTAGAACTGTTCAGAGGAACCATGCCCAACCTATGTGCAATGAACTCGTCTGGCAGCACTGTGGTGTTGACCTCAATTTCCACCATGTCAATAGCTAGGAGGTGGAATATTTCAAAGGGTGAACAGTATAGAATATAAACTAGACGCACCGACTGTGGGGATATCCGCCATGACCACCCTTCTCAGAGAATTGGCGAAACTTCAAGGGCCTCGATCAGATGCACAGCGACAGGTGGGGACGGGCTTACGCCAAATCGACATTTCCAAGGACAAAGTTGACGCGATCTTTCTTTAATTCGCGTATCCGAACGGTAGGTTCGAGATCTTCTTGTGTCTGCATTGTTCGAGATCGTAGGTGAAAGTTGTGGACCAAAGTCAAGCCTGCCAGTCGCGTACTTACACATCAGACTACCGAATGAAGAAGGCAGGCACCTCCGAGCCTAGCAGAAACAAATAGCGGTTTCTTGCGATTCGACCCACTGCGAGCACTCTCACCAGCTTCCAACCACTGTCGCGCCTATATGACGTCTAAATAGAAACCAATGTACACCCTTGCATTCTATTCATACTTTGGACGGCTGATCTGGTGAGTCCAAAGCGTTCCTCTTATCCCGTGTGCTTAATTATATCTCATCCATTCCAGACGGATCGTGAACAACTGCCAGTCGTGGTCGCGGCTGCTTGGTCTACCCGATCCGGTTAAATAGCACAAACCTTTGTCGGAGAACCTTACGACGATGAGGCTCCTTCAATGCCTTTATTCATAGTTCTAATGTTCTCGGATTTTGTGGTTTGGCTTTCACCTGTAGAGCGCATTCCCTGATGCGTATCCCAGCTCACTGGTGCCAGCAGACAGGCTGACGACGCGCCGAAGGATCTTCAGGTACGATGTGCGTTTCACCATGCTCGCAGCGTGTGTCTGACCGACTTCGATCCTTGAAGGGTATACGGTCCGTCGCTGCGGTGGGAATATTCCTCTTGTCTGAATTTAGAACCTCCTGTGTGTCCTCGCAGCAGAGGAGAACCGAATACAAGTGCACACCGCGATCTTTTCATCTCAACTGCCTGCATGAAGAGACATTTGATTGATCGCTCATCCGAGGACAACACGGAGGCTGCTGTGCCGGAGAGCTCAGGTTACTTATCGTGCAATGCGCTCCAAGCGTTGGCCTTGCACCGGATATTTCGACATGATAGCGCGCCTTACGAGGAGAGCGTGCCCTGGCATGTCCGTCGCGTCGTATGCGGTGTCTTCTGGAGGCTGGCTTCTTGTGGCAGGGATATTCGCTAGGAATTCTGATTGGGGTACGGAATGGTGCCAAGAAGAAGAGGGAGAGATGCAGGGAATTAAATGCGGACATGGATGAGCCGCGAAGAGGCTGGCGAGGCTGTGAGTCTGGAGTACAAGAGAATCTCATGGCGAATGTCAATCAAGGGAGTGTGGCGATTGGCGCATATTTGCGGAACGCGCGTCGGTTAAATCTTTACGAAACAAGTCTAAAGGCGACTGTTTATGGCAGTCAGCAGTTGCCAGAACCGCGGCAAGTCAGGTCTCCGCGGATAATGACAGATATGCCCTCTTGAAGATCATCTGCTTTTCTTCCTATCCCTGTCCGTCATATGCAGACCCACTCCCTCCATAAAAGCCCATCCTCCAACATTTCCCCCGCCCCATCTCCTCCCGCCCATGGCCTCGTCTCCCAAGCGCTCGCTCGCCGAAAGTGCGTCGTTCCAAGTCCGAAATCCCCTCCAATTAACTCTTTCCCAGCGGAGGCTTTACTCACCGCGCCAGGAAGCATCCACGAGACCCAGACCACCCTTGTCGATGGAAGGCTCTATCGCGTCTACAAGAACCTCTGGCCCTCTCTGCGCGATTTTTGGCTGGCAGCGGTCGCACAATATTCCCCCGACACCTACATCGTCTACGAAGACGGCCGCCTGACATACCTGCAGGTCCACGCGCGCGCAGTCAAGGCAGCTGCGTTGCTCCGCAACACCTACGGCGTCAAGAAAGGTGCCTCCAGTCATGTCTCCTCCCCGACTACGTCATTTACAATACGGTGCTCACAGGTGATAGAGTAGCGATCTGTTCGCGTAACTGCCCTGAATATCTCATCGTCTTTTGGGCGTGCCGTAGGCTCCATCACCTTCTTTGAAGACGATCATGCTGATAAGATTATTAGACCTTCTCGGAGCCGTCTCTGTTCTCGCCAACGCGTCAGTGATACTGACTCTTCCCCAGAAAACCAGTTAACGCATGGATTTTTTTAGGTGGTTGCCTTTAGATCCTCTGGGCCACTGTTTGGCTCACACAAGGTGCAAGATTGTTATCCTCGACCCCGAACGAGCAGATCGGCTACAGTCAGTCATTCCGAAACTCTTACAGGAAACGGACACCACGAATTTTCTTGTATTTGACTCCCTTGGCCCCCCTCGAAGGTGGAAACAGTTCCACTCTTTCGAGGAAAGCCTACAACGATACCCCGATGACGGAATGGAAGTCTTGAATTCTGCGATCTCAATCCTGCCCGAGGACAACGCGACAATAATTTTCACCTCAGGTAGTGTTCTCGCCTCCTCATGGCCCCTATTCTTGACCGTATCCTTCATCAGGCACTACTGGATTACCGAAAGGTGTCCTCAGCACTCAACGACAATTCCTGACTAATGTCTTAAATGTGATTATCACGATCGCTCAAGTTTGTACTACAGTCTCACGCTTGGTCAGGTTCTGGCTGGCGGGTTTCGTGCAGCATTACGACGAGGAGAAGACTTCCCGACCAAACAGAGAACCGTTCCTCAGAAAGCTACTCTCGTCTCTGTCCCTCTTTTCCATGTCACCGGTTCGACGAGCTTTTCAGTTCGTCATCATTTCGTTCTGGTTGATTTGACCCCTAGACCTTACCTTCTCTCAAGATGATGGCCACTGCGACAGGAATGAAGATCGTATTAATGAGAAAGTGGGACGTTGAAGAAGGTGATTCCTCTTCTCTTGCTCTGCTTCTATCTATTCATAAATTTACAGCCGTGAGGTAGGAGAATTTTACCTCGTTCGCAAGGACGACAGGCTGAGCCTCTCAAGGTTGATCAAAGAGGAAAATGTATCGGTAGCAGGAGGGTAAGATCTTGCGCTCTACCTACCGTGGCAGCTTCAACTTATCACAAGTGTCTAGTGTCCCGTCGATGGTCACAGATCTGACCTTGAGTTCATTGGTGGGTCATCCCCTAGAAGGCCTTCTGTTTGGTGGCGCCCCAGCTCCCGATTCGCTCGTCCGTCGGGCCAGGGATGCCTTCCCTAGCGCAACCATGTGCGTCAAGTTGAATTATCTCTATCCTTCGTTCTTTTTACTCACACCGCAAGGCTTCAGGATACAGGCTTATGGTTTGACAGAAACCAATTCAATAGCCGTTTCCGTGAGTTTAACTCTCGCACATACATAATACCTATTCCTAACGCAGTGTGAAGTTTGCGGGAGAAGATTACATTGCTCGCCCTACTAGCACGTCCGTCTTCATTCCTTTCCTTGTGGCTGCATCTCCGCTGATCCCTTTTCATTAGCGGCCGGGCATCTCCTGTGAACGACATTAAGATCGTGCATGACGATACATGCCTTCCTCCCGGTGCCGTCGGAGAGGTGTGGTTGTGAGCGTCACTTACAGCTTTGTGGGTGCACATGTCTGACATTTTGCAGGCGGGGACCCAACGTTATGAAGGAATACTGGGGCGAACCAGGTGTGTGCGCAATATCGTATTTGATTTATGCGTCAATTTTTACTGACTGTCAGCCAAAAGAAGCAACCAATGCAGTGATCACGAAGGACGGGTGGCTTAGAACGGGTGATGTGGGCTATCTGGACCAGGAAGGATTCTTATACATCAAGGACCGACGTGAGTCTTTTCGACGCTATAAATTAGTTTCTCTTTTCTGATAGCACCTCCCATTGCTCTCCGGGAATAAGTGAAAGATATCATCATCCGTGGGGGAGAAAACATCGTGAGTGCTCTTCGGCCGTGATGTCTTGGTCCTCACTGAGGTCGATATCACCAGGACTCGGTCAGTGTGGAAAACGCGCTCTATGCTGATCCTCGGGTTTTGGAGGCTGCCGCGGTGGGTGTGCCAGACGAACGCCTTGGGGAGCTAGTAGCAGCCGTAGTTTCTATCCGACCCGCAGACCAGGGACAGGTCACAGAAGAAATGTTGATAGAGCAGACGAGAAGCAGGTGCGTTCATTCATTAATCTCTCCCTTCCAGAGAGAAACTGATTTTAATATCCTCACAGGCTTCCTAGATTCGCTGTTCCTGTCATGATCATCATTCTCAATACCGCCTTCAGTAAGTGCGATAATAGCCCATCTCAAAAGCATTGACCTCATCCTTGTGATACGTTCTCAGCGCGTACCCCCTCAGGCAAAATTATCAAAGGCGAACTGCGCAAAATTGCTAGAAGCCACTGGGAATTGCGGCGTCGAGGTGGAAATGGCAATGCTGTGCGGCAGCCGCTGGCGAACCTGTAGTCGTAGGTATGGATATCTATCAAAGGATGGACGGACTCTACTTGGATGCAAGATTTAGGGATCAGACATATTTTTTTCATGCTTAGAATATTTTCTGGCGCTTAGCCGTCACGTGTACGTAATCGTCATTTCTGTAACAGGAAACCATGAAGAACCGAAACACCTTTGTTCAGAACGGTGACATGTCCAGTCCATGAATCAAGGCGACCTCTCCAGGACAAGTTCTGAACCTCTAAAAAGTTATGCGCGCGTTTTCAAGGCTCACCAACAAGCCGTTCAAGAACACCTGCGAGGGGTATCAGACGACGGTGACGACCAACCATCTTTCGTCCCACCTGCATCGCTTTGGACATCAACAGAGAAGGACCTCTTTTTCTATGGCCTGAAGGTGTACTCTCGCTTCCGTCCAGAGCTTATTGCCGAAAACATTGAGACAAAGACGACGTTGGAGGTCTGCCTCTACATCGACATTCTCCAAAAGGCTGCTGCTAAGAAAAATGTCCACAACGCGAAACTCGGCATCCGAGGCGTGTTAGAGCCCGCCCTAGAAGTCTCAGAACGCTGGGTTGAACACGAGGAGGAAATAGCGCAGCAACTTATGGAAATCGACGCGTGCCCCTGCAGCGTAGGCAATCATTCCAAGGCGTTGTCGCATTGTACTTGTACCTCCAACATCCCTCTACACGGCGACAAAGTTATCGACACCGATAACACTTCACGAAAACGTCTCAACCACCTGACAGCGAGCCATCTAAAGGCCCTGGAGGATATCACTGATGAGGCGCAATTAAAAGCTACTCAACATGACATACGCAACGACCCTTCTGCTCCATCTCAAGCCCCTGGTAAGAATTCATCATTTCCTGATATGTTCGAATTTAGGAGTGTTCTCCTTATTCTTAGATTTCGGTGACATATCGTTGATGTTAGACGTTCAATCTGGTCCCCAAGCCAGTTCTTCGCGACCTCCTTTGGCCCATGCTGATGCAGCCGAAATAGACAAATGGAAGCAACATCGTCTCCAGAAGATACTTTATTACCGCCGCAAACGTGCACAGGAGGCAGCCAAGGAAGGCCGACAGATCAAGACGAAGAAACGAAAGAACCCTGATAAAGACAAGGAGAGCACGACACCCGCCTCTGCCAGAGATGTGCTGGCGGATCAGAGTCCTCATATTGACCATAACGAGCTTAACACTGGAGTGGAAGTCGTTGATACGAACATGGAAGAGTCAATAGAAACAGCCGAGGTGTGGGACGAAGATGACACAGCGCAAACTTCAAAGAAGACACAGGCATTTCTCAAGGATAACGTGGACGCAGAGGTGTTGAGCAGTTTTGGTCTCGACCTGTTCCACCTCTCGACGCTTGGGCGACTGCTGAGGTATGCAGTATATCTCAATTCGCTTTGATGACACCCTTTGATTTTTTCCTACGCCTGAATGGTTAGGTTATTCCAATCAATTAATGGCTCCACATGTTCTGTGGACTCTGTCTCCATTTCGACCAGGAATATTCAACTCCTGGGGGCGATCACGAAGGACTTCGTGTCTGAGGTAATTCGTCGTACAATAATTACGAAGGAGCAGGAAATCAGGTTGAAAGGAACTTTGAAGGTGTGGTGTTATGACTTGGACGAGGTTTGGCCGCCTTGAAGTGATGGTGGCTAGCTCTGCTTACCCGTCTCCAAATTCTAGATCAACAAATACAACGTCCAGGAGTGCCTAGATACCATGGGTCTGAGTGCCTATGACAAGAAGAAATATTGTGCGGAACTTTTTGAGCGTGTTGGTGATGCCGAAAAAGAGGTATCAGGGGAAGAAGAGGACGATCCAGCAATGGCGGTTGAACCAGTACAATGCATCCAGACGACCCAGAACAAAGTTCATTCCCGCTTTACCCTTCCGGAGTCCCTCTTATGGTGCGCTTTGCCAAGCCACCGCGAAATATTTAGCACCGACGATGTAGTCCCTCTTGAAGTTGACGAAGCTGCGCTGTTAGGGGAATTGGAGGAGGACGGTCAATTGGACGTGAAGGATATGGCGGCATCTAAACAATACGAGGACACTCTTTGGGCGACTGATGTTCTTGACATCTTGTGAGGAGCATGTATAGTCACTTTGTGTATATCTTGTGGGTATTGCTGTCGCATTCGTGAAATTTTTTTTTGGATCAAACACATATCAGGTACACTACTTGAACAACAGGTTTAAAATGTTGCAGTGTTACAGCTTCGCACGCTCTCCCGTCTTCTCATCTTTCACTCTGACGACTGCTTTACCCCAGGTTTGCCTCTTCTCGAGTGCTGCGAGACCATCAACTAGCCGTTCGAGGGAGTAGATCTCGTCGTATATCACAGGCCTAACCGTGCCCGAGGAGAACATACTGCTCCAATCAGATGAGGGACAATTATGTTCAGAAAAAAAGAGAACCTACGCTAGTATATCTTCCCATACTTTGAGCATATGGTCAGGTTCATGGACTAGCAGATTGTCAGGTAGGCTAAGCGTGGTAAAGAGGGATGATCATACCGGAATAAGCCCCCCAGTGTAAGCCGACCAGAGAGATATTCTTGAGCAATACCAGGTTCATAGGAACCTGTTGTCGGGTTCAAATCGGACATCTCATAACAGACGGACCTGAAGAACGGACCTTTTCGATGGTCCCTCCAGCAAAGCCAATGACAAGAGCGCGACCTTTCCAGGCGATACACTTGAGACAATCTGATGTACAGTCGGTTCGCGAAGTTGGAAACACATTTTTAAACACACGTACCATTTATGAGACCGACCGGATCGTAAACAACGTCGACTCCATGGCCACCAGTGATTTTGAGGACTTCTTTTTGCCAGCCAGCGTTCGAATAATTTATTCCGTGGTCTGCGCCGCCGAATCGCTTCGCAACCTCTATTTTTTCCGTCGACCCAGCTGCTGCAATGACCTTGGCGCCAATAGCTATTGAGGCAGGTATTAAGGAGCTCGAACTGGGCACTCGATTGGTAGCGTACCTTTAGCAATCTGCACAGCAGCAATTCCGACACCGCCAGCGGCAGCAGTCACCAACACCCATTCATCTGCGCCAATGCCTCATTGATATGAAGATACTTGCACCATCTTCGCAATGCCGCGCACCTTTCTTCAACTCGGCCCTGCCAATAAGTGCTTCATAACTGGTTGGCCAAGTGATGAATAGCCCTGCTCAATGAAGGGTTGGGATTGGTCTAGACGGGTGAGGCGTTGGACCTACCGGCACCTTGTTCAAAGGAAACATTGTCTGGCAGAGCAATTACACGATCTGGATCAGCTGCAACTTTGTCGGCAAATGCGCCTATCTGGGCGCCAAATACGCGCTGGCCACGCCTGAGTCCGCAACCTTCGGGTATGGGAGAGTCCTGAGAAATTCTACCAGCAAACTCTGTCCCCAACGTAAATGGAAGAGGAGGCTTGTGTTGGTACTTCCCCTGAGCTTGAAGGATCTAGAAAGCTAGGTCACTAGGGGTGTATGACAATAAGATATGACACCCACGTCAAAGAAGTTCAGACCGACACTGTAGACATCGACAAGCACTTGGTTTGCTCCAGCCTTCGGTTCCGGGGTATTGTTGTTCAGGGCAATCTTAGAAGGGTGGGCAAGCTCATTGACAACGAAGGCCCGCATGATTGCTCGGAGTGGACTGGGTTCACGGGAAAAGGATGCGTTTCAAGGATTTTGGTCTTTAAAGACATTGTCGGGAGGAAGACCCCTGATTCGGCTTCCCGCTCCATCAATAGCCGGGCAGAACAGAGTCACAGGTTCACAGAAATTGTAGGTATGTACATACAACAGACCCTTCTCAGACCTCGGTCTGATGGCTAAGAAAAGAGACATATTTTTGGTTTTGTCTCTCGACTGTCCATCCACATCAAAAGAAGGAGGATGTTCTAACTCGGTGACGATTGCGTGGTAAGATGCTACATGGTGTACTTATCTACTTGTGTCGGTGCATGGGGTGGCGGTTGTACATGTGAAAGCTACGAGAGATTGTCTGCCGTTATATATGGCGTGTAATTACTTTGGCGATGTATCCAAAGTGAACTAGCTGAAGGCAAATCCTTCACCTCCCTCATGTATGGCCATTAACAATTGTTGGCGGAGCATCTCATATGAACTATATTGAGGAAGGTCGATTTGATTGAAGCCTAAAGTTGGTCGTTAGTGTTGTCAGAAATTTTGACGAAGTCAAATACATACACGTATGGGCTTGAGGAAGGCGGTCGGGTTCGCCATAGGCGCGATGGATGGAGAATTTCTGAACCCCTTGTACGCCCTGGAGATCGAGGAAGCCGCTCAACGGCACGCGAGAAGTGCCAGTCGCAAAGCTGAGGACTTTGGCCCTTTCTTCTCTATTGAAAGATTTGAGAGCTCGCCACCACCAAACGATGTTGGGATCAGAGCTCGTGTATCCATTGTACTCCGTTGCTGCTCGCCATTCATCGACATCAATGTCCGGGGTTCCAGAGATCAAGAGTTCAAGCTCCTGTTCGTTGAACTGGAAAGTCTCGTGTCAGTAAGCACAAGCACCGTGGACCACCCTCCGACGTACAATCGTTATCAACTCCTTGGGAATAATCTCGTAAAAGCCTGATGAAAGACTCTCGATCTGTTCCTTGATAGACGAATACAGCCTGTACTGAGCAGAAAGCTGTACGAACTCTCGTTTGTTTTCCTGTGTGACGGGGATCGTCTCGCCTTTTTCTTTCAAAGGAACAATCCGGTTGACACCAAACTACCAAAAGTGAGTTGAATTACAAAGCATCCGACAGATGTAAAACATACTTCGTCCGCTTCGACGCTGAATGTCAGGTCCAAAGGCGTTGGGTCGTTCTCTAGAATCCAACATAAAGAGTTGTAATACTCCGGGTCTACCCATTCGACGTCCCGATAATCCACAGGCTTCCCCAAAAGTTGACGGTAGAGACTGCGAGCGAAGTATGCATCCAAGAGTCGTCCATCGTAGATAGCCTTGCCAATGACACGCCCGACAAATTTGAAGAACGACAAGTGCTCAGGATTGACCCATGAGTTCTTGTTGGGTTGGTACGTCAACTTGTCTGCGGCACATGGCTGGAACAGAGCGTTGTTCGGGTTGAACATCTGGCGTGCCAAAATTTGGAACCACTCGCGCGTAAGACCTCCTGCATCGACGCCCTCTTCGTCATAGAAGCGGACGCTGAGTTTGCCATATTTGATCTGGTCTCCTGTCTTGCGCTGGAGATACAGGAAGCTATCCTCAAACACACGAGCTCTGCGGACATTGAGCTGAAGAGTTCCGTAATGCTCGCGAATCTGTGGTTTGCGATGCAATTGTTGACTGAAGTAGTTCCGTTTGTTGTCGAAATCGAGCACGCGAGAGTTGTTAACCAGGAGAGAGAATGACCCACTCATCAGCGACGGGTTATTGCGTACCATGAGATTCAGGACCTTTCTATGAGCGTCAGTGAAGGTGATAAACAACTCTTCCATCGACTCCTTCGGCGTAGTTGGAGATCTTGGCGAAGCAGATGCCCGTAGGGCCCTCGGCACAGAAGGTCCTTTGGAGCCGACGAACTTGCAAACAACCATCAGAGATTCAATGAGAGGGAGAAGAGAGTGAGCAATGTCTGCTGTTTCGGCACTTTCCCCAATAGTGGAGAGGCAGTCTCCCAATCTCCGCCAAAGAGGAGTAAATCTGAATGACTCGTAGATAGCTTGGACCTTTTCAATGTCGTCATCCGATGCAGGAAGTGGTGGCGCACTGGACGCCGAGGGCTTCCCCGAGTACATGTAGTCGATCGTCTTCAAAACTCGTAGCAACTTGGTCTGCGTCGAGGAAGAAGAGGAGAACTTGTTGGTGATAGTAGCACTGCTCCGGGCATCTTGCAAAGCAATGGCGAGTTCATCGAGGTCAGCATACAACGTTTGTCCGAAGTCTTGGGCCTTCGTCTTCAACTCAAGTGCAATGACATCTCGTGCATCAGGGATATTGGATAAATTTTGTATCAGAGTCAGACTTTGCTGGAAAGTTCGGCCAGATAACTCTCCAGTGGTCAGGATGTTGACAATCAAGCGGAGTGCGCTATGCGGGACCTGAGGAACCTGGGATAGGAGGACCTTTTCATCGATGACCTCGCGTTTGTTTTCGGCTGGCACGGTTGATGGATCTGCAGCATATGACAGATCTGGCGTGAGAGAAAGAGCAGAAAGAAAAATATATGACCTACCAGCGACTATAGATGTGCTTGTACTGGACTGGGCGACAATGCCCCGTGGCTCCGAGGGTGTTGCCGGGGACACCGCACTGGAGGACGAGTCCGGCACTGTGGCCGTTGTTGTGGCCGGATCAGGTCCTTGCTGTTCGAGAGTTTTCATTTGCTCCTTTAGTGTGGACAGAGGGCGAGTGACGGTAGCAAGTAAACCAACAACAGCGTCCAAGATGCCAGCGGTGCGAAGGAGGTTTTGCCGATCCAAGAGGCTCAGAAGTAAGACCAAGGGATAATGCGACTGCGATTGACGTTCTTTACCCTTGCCCTTCTTTGCTGTTGGCTTTCGGAGACTAAATGGAAGCTCCTGTTCCGTGAGGAAGAAAAGCGAAGAGGGTTCGTTCTCGCTGACGATGAACATCAAAGCTTCAATGCATCTCTGGGCAATAAGGACAGGTACGGCTTCACCCTGAGAAGTCGGTAAGATGGAGGCAAGGTAGTCGCTCTGACTGGCCCTCTGTTTGCTCGCAGATTTCGGTGTTTGAAGTTTCGAGTCGCGATTCCGCACCGACATTTGCGCAAAACTTTTGTCAACTGCAGCAAGATCAGCAGCTCCGTCTTGAAGGATACTGAGGAGAATATTGAACAGCTCTGTGCGAGTCTTGGAGTTTTCACACAGGTTGAGGAGGACCTTGAACAACAGTGTCTTCTTAAGAACTTGTGGGAAGAACAACAAGCGAACAAGGACTGCGACTCCGGGGCGATCCAACAGCAAGATTGCGTCGTGTTGGGGAGCGTATTTCTTCGGCAGGCCTGGAGCGGTTGACAGGCGGGCGGCGGGACGAGAAGCCAGAGAACGGCGGGCCTGTATTTCGTCCCGATAGGCACCTGCTTCAGCAATCATATGAGAGGGAAGCGTCTGCAGGAAGCCGTCGTCTTGGTCCAGAAGAACTGCTTGTCGCAAACTTGGATCAAGGCTGGCAATGAAACTTGCGGGATCCATTTCGGCTGCCTCTCTGGCTGGCGCCCTGGAAGCCTCTTCAGTCCTGCGACGAGCCCTTTCCATCGCCTCCTGTTGGATGATTTCTGCCCGGATGTCTGGTGGCAGTGCATCGAGGAATTCGGCGCTGATCTGTGAATCTGGTGGTCGTTCTACTCTTGCTGCCCGCTGAGCTCTGACATGCTGATTCAAAACCTCCTCTCGCATATCATCGGGGAGAGCTTCGAGGAAAGTGGGATCGATCCCAGTATCGGTGATATCCACCGCGCTTCCGTGAATCATCACCGTTATACGTTCTGGAGGGTTCTGGTCAGCATGAGACGAAGACTCTGCCGGTGTCTCTGTTGAAGATAAACCCTCAGCTGCTTCAGGGATCGTTGCTGATAGAGACGTTGCCTGGGGGGAGTCGGTTGCATCGGCCATTTCTGTGTCTACATCGACAGAAGGAGGGTCTCCCATTGCTGAATCTTGTATAATGGATGGAGAATCGGCAGGTGCTACACTGGGTACTTGAGTCGTAGGTTCCACATCCTGCGTCGTTGTAGTTTCTGACGCTAAAGTCGGTTCTAGCACGGCCGGGGGTGGTGTTGATCCCACAGCGCCCTGTGGTGGTGGTGGTGGGGGTGGGGGTGATTCTGATCCCTTGTCATCGTGGGCGGTGGTCTCTTCTGCCTCCTCCTCATCCCCTTTTTGGGCAGCCTCCAGCCTTTCCTTCTGGGCAGATGCTTCGGCCGCTTCCCTGAGTTTGGCCTGCTTAATTGACTCGAGAGCAGCAGGAAGCATAGCTAAAACAACATGATTAGTGAGCCTCCCGACGCGTTCGACCACAAAATCTCCGTGAAGAATTTTCATCTCCTCAGCCCATCTTTGCAATGTAAGCAGTGGATCAAACTCTCGGCCCTGTCTATGACCCTGTGGTCGTGGAACTCGTTCCGTTCGATTAGATCCTCCAAAGAAGCGACGACCATGGTGTAGAATTGTGCCCGCTGGAACTTCGATGCGGAAGGTCTCCCCCGCCCCTTCGTGCGAGATGATCTGCTGCAGCATTTGAAAGGATCCTTCTCCGAGCATCTCGTTGATTGTTTGCAGGAGGCTGGGATGGCTATTGGCAAAAAGACGCTGAGCGTTGCGTATGCTGCGATTTTGACTGCTGATTTGTGCACGAGCTGGTGTGGACATGTCCAAAAGCAATGGGTGGGTCGTCGCCTCTGGAGCTGTAGGAGCATGCCTGGGGCGCCCGAACGTTTGGTGGTCTACTAAGAGCATCATAAGTCAAGATAGAAATTTGAACTTCTTGACACCTACCGTGTCCGCGATGCCGGCGATGAACGAACAAGCCGCCACCATCACGAATGCTCCCTGCGTTGACGAATGTGTCCCCAAAGCCGAAAATACCCTCGGTCTGGAAGTTGCCGTTCTCCAGTAAAAATTCTTCATCTGACGCCATCTCGACTTCATCTTCTTCGTGGTTGACTTGAATAGGGACTAGCAATAACGATTAGCTTCTGGTTCACACCGTCTCACTAAGAATGGGCGTTCACCTCCATGGCCGGTTTCGTCATCAACATTCTGGAGCGCGATACCAAGGCCTTCGACCTCTTGTTGCATGTCCTGAAGGATCATAAGCAGGCGATTGGGCGAAAATTGGTCTGCATACCTCCCACATCATCCCCTCTTCATCCTCGTCGTCTTCACCTTCACCTTCATCCTCGTCCTCGTCCTCGTCCTCATCCTCGTCCTGATGTCCTGGTGCTTGCTCCTCATCTACGTTCTGATTCTCGACCAGGTCCTCCTCTTCTTCGTCTCCTTCATCCCAACCTTCGCCAGAATCCTGCGTCATATGGTCGAGGCGGTCTTCCTCCCCACCCTCCGATTCCGAAGCCGACGTATCTTCGCTTCCAGTTTCCTCTCCATATTCTACGTCCATCTCTACGTCATCTTCGTCTTCGTCATCCATGTCCTCGTCTTCGGAATAGTGGCCGTCATCCATTTCCTTGATGGACACATATGAGGCGATGGACACAGCTCATGAAATACTGCGACTTACCCCTCCATACATCCCAAGAGCTGAGTTTCGATAGAGGTCAGGGGTCTCCTCCCTACCATCGCCATCCATGGCATCCTCATCTTCCGACTCTGAGGATACACTGTCGTCGCGGCGGATGTCTTCCTTATTTTTGCTCGAAGCCTTACTCATCTTGATCGCAATTTTAGTGCTATAAAAGGGTGATCAATATGCAGACTAACCAGTCGTAGCATGGAAGACTCACAGGTGCTCCAGAGGACGAAGAAGGGAGGCAACCAAGTTCTTGACATTTGGATAATTAAGATCCACCTCAGAAAGGGCATTAGTGAGGATAGAGACAAAATTCTTCTCCAACATAATTTTTGCCACGTGTGTTGGAACATCATCCTGCTGCTTTCGCGAACTCGGATTGACACGGACAGTAAGAAGACGATGGCACAAGTCTGATAGAGCAAGCAAGCGACCGTATCGAGCCTCCGTGCTTTCGCTTGTAGACGAAACATCCTTGATAGTCCGTCCGACAGTTTCCAGGACAAATTTCCGCACGAAAAGCAGGTCTGGAGATATTTCCTTCATTTCTTGGGCAGCTGATGTATCCACACACAGTGCACCAATCAAGTTCATCGCCCAGCTGCAAAGCAATCCTCGATTACGGAGTTTGGGGTCGGAAAGTGGGGTGATAGTGCCATAGGTGACGAGCTCGGAAAGCAGGAAGTGAAGAGTTACAGGTCGGAACTTGTTGGACAATTCCTTGGATTGTGGTTGCAAAGGCCTCCTTTTGGTGGAGAAGGAAAGAAAAGCCGCCTTACAGGCATCGTAAGAGAACAACAACTCAGTCAAGCACTGCATGACGAAACAAAGATATTGATACTTGTCATGAATGTCGACGGGCGAAGCAGTTGGCTGACTAGAACTGCCTGAAAGGCCGTCGAGTGAGTCGTTTTGAGTAGCTTCGACGGGCGGCGGATGGGGTGGAGTTGATGCAGTGGCAACAGGAGGAGGCATTTCGTTGATCACCTTCACTGTGTTCATGAGTTCATTGACAAGCAGATTGATGACATTTTCCGCGGTTCTCTGTGTGACATTGGCGGAACCTGCCATGGGTGAATCAACTTGCATGTCCATGGCGCCTTCCTGCGAAGACGATGTAAGCTTCTCAGAATTAGGATCCGTGCGAAGCTTGATATGGGGTGATGGGGTGAAAGGGTGCTCCAATGAGCACAATGATTTTGTCACATCAATGAAGATATCCACATCCCGTAGGGCGATAGCGCTGCAATTCCGCACATATGTATTCGCATCTGCAGTCCGTGCTCGCGGATGAGTGAAATACCGTTTGATGGTTTGCTGCATAATGGTCGTGATTGTTGGTGCGTCTTCGATGACATGGCGGAGGATGGTTGCAACATACGAAGATCCTCCCGTCACAGGGGAATTTCGAAGGCGGGTGAACAGAAACGAAAGTCCATCACGACGAAGAAACTGCGCTGCCTTCTCTCGGTCTCGTGTGAGAAGTACAAATAACCGTAAGACCGACAGCAGCTCATCTGCAGGTAAATCGGGGACAGCGAGCAGGCGAAGGCAGAAATCAAAGACAACGGTTCGCGCCTCCGCCCGTGACGGTCCATTGGCTATCGGGCCTGGTTCCATAGGCTCATCTTCCTTGGGCAACTCAATGGCACGGGGCTCATCAGCTAGGGTAAACAGAGCCTCAGTGACAAGCAAATGCGCTGCGAGCCAACGAGGCGGTTGCTCGGGATTGATGCTGGACAGCAACAATGCAAGTAGGTGCTCCATCAAGGTGTTCCGTAATCCTTGGTCAAGAGAAGAAGGTGTTTCACAAAGAACCAACGCTAATAGTCGACAGCGATTGGCAAGTGGTTGCTCTTCTACATCGTATGCGAACGACGAAAACTTCTCGATGTCTCCAACGAGATTGCGGATGGCCTGTTCTTGATGATTGCTTGCTTTCGTGAATGCGATGTGGAGGTCAAACAAGAGTGACAGGTGTTCGTCGATAAGCAGCAGTGATCGCTTGCTGATGTTCGCCCTCAATGCCTCTCTCGCCTCGTCCAACGACTTCCGCCATTCGTCCACAGTCTTGCCTACTATGGGAGGATCACTAGTGGCTTCGCCAATTTCGGGGCGCACCTCAACTGGAGGCTGAGCTTCTCCCTCTCCACTAATCGGGATATCTTCAGTTGCCATTGGTTCTTCCGTCGTAGTCTCGGGTGCATGTTCAGACGAGGCGGGAGGTATTGGTTCCGGAACAGGATCGGGAGGAAGGGGGAAGGGATGTGACAGCAGATATTCCGTTGCACTATTCACGTTATTGTGGGTCCGAATTAAAGCACGTACGGCAGCTGAACGAGGAAAGCCCATATCAGTCAAAATCCGAATGCGACCTTCATCTGGCCCGGTGGCTCGAGGAACAGTGGTGGAGCCAGGGCCAACGTCTGCGTTGGGGTCAACCTTCGCCTCTTCATTTTCTCCGTTGACAAGCTCCAGGACAGTCCGCACTACGTATCGACTGACACCAAGCGGTGCCTGTACCAGCCAGGGAGCATCCCAGAGACTTTGTATCATAGGAAGAGCAGTGTGACGCAGTTTTACGAGGAAGTTGTGTGGTTCGAAATAGTCAGGGTCGGTATCCTTCTTGTCTCGGGTGATGATCAGGAGTGTTTGACCAGACTCGAAGAGGGGTTTGGAAGCGAGGATGGGATGAATGAGATTGAGAGCAACTTTCAAAGCTCCGTAAGCATGTAAGAGTTCCTTCTTTTGCTGTTCCGTCCGATCATCCTCCTTTATCTTGGCGACCTCATCGACTGAGGATATTAGCAAAGCGCATATATCGAAAACGGCGTCGAAACCGCCAGCCTGATAGAAAGCGAAAAGCTCGACGGTGTGTAAGGTGCTCGTGGACGTCCGCTCTACATCATAGTCAGTTCATAGGTCAAATACAACAAGGAGAGGACTTGCCATCCACGAGCAACAGGGTGAAGAGCCCGAACATTACACTGTAATAGTTGTACAGTGAGGCCTTATCATCTGCAGAATAACTAAGTTAATGAACTTCACCAGTCTTGTTGAGCCTTACCAAATCTCTTCAGACTCAGGTGTTCCAACATGATAGAAGCCACAACCTTCGACGACTCCGTAATTTGTCTCTTTTGCACAGCATCCGGATTTCTGCGAGCATGGAACATTTTTACCATAGCTACAAAAGAAAAGTCAGTTCCCAGAGAATGTGTCAACTTTCAAGTTTTGGGTCACCTTGGAAAAATGGTGCCAGAGCATTCGGAAGTCCCTGAGTGATATGCTTCAGCGAAGAAACATTCCTGTCTCGTGGTTCCTCGCGCTTTGCGATAGGGTTCTGATTTTCGAGAGCATTTGAAGTGATTGGCTTGTCGGTCTGTACTCCATTCGCATTGTTGGATCTATTGGCGAGAACGGAACCGTCCGAACCTGGTAAATCCAGGGTAGGTTGATTAGGAGATCCTTCCAACGGAGACGCCCCGGGCGTCGGTTGTATTTCAATGCCTTTTGAGCTCAGGCCTACATTTAGAGATATGTTTTCCCATATACTGGCGCGATGAAGGGCTCCAAGATCAGTCAGGACTTGGAGCGGTGTGTTAGTCATGAGCGTTTGCAGTAGGCTGATCGCTGCTCTGCCTTGCGCCTGGCCAGCAGTGGCGAAAACGTCGGAAAGTAGGGTGATTCGGATGTGTAGGGTGACGAGGCTCCTGAATTGTCGGTTTGCTACTTCCGCTTGCTCCACTACGATATCCAAGGTAAATCAATAAATCACTAACTAACAAGGCGGCCTTAAGCAGGAACTTACAAGATAAGTCCACAAATGGAAGTAGCTTCGACGATTCTTCAACTTGATTCCAAAAGAATTTGCTATCATCAAGAGATACTTTGACAATCTCTGCCAAATGAAGCAGGGTTTCGGCAGTTGCTACCTCGGTCATGGTCCGCAAGACCTGAACCATAGAGTCAGATGCAACACTGTTGGCGAAATCATATGGCAAGCATGGGAGGCCTGTCAACCTCCCGATCCTTTCTAAACCATCAGTTGTGGTGACAAAATCTTTACAATGAGGAGGGTGTTGGAAAAACCCCTCCAAAAACTTGGCAGTGTCTCGTCAGTTCACAGGTCGCGCGCAGATAATATAAGACTTACGCGGCCAAGGATGTCGATGTAAGAGACCACGATGTTATCGTGGTTTTTTTCGCTGGAGTCCTCTTCTTCATATTCATCTTCGACGATTTCTGCCATTGTCTCCGGTGGTGTAGTGAGGGTGTCGTTTGCAAAGGCATCTTGCATCGTGACGTCGCTGTCAGAAGAATGGCTCTGGAACGCTGGCACCAGCTGGTACCAGTGTTGGATCTCTGGTGGACAGATAAATGACATTCCGAGATTTTCAATATGACCCAAGGTGGCTTTCAACGAGTCAAACACAGTATCCTTCAAAGAAGGATGGTGCCGAATGAGTTCGTCAACAGCTGTCCCGACAATGACTGCGTTTTCCTTGTCAATAAGGACCTTTGCGTGGCGGTCTGATGTGAAGATGGAGAATATTGCTGGGATAATGCTAGGGCGTTTTGCAAGTTGGGCTTGTCCCGTTTCGTTGAGACACAGCGCACCAATTGCGTTTGGGATCGCTTGGATGACCTACAATAATAAACATGTCAAACCCAGAATTTCAAGTACAAGCTGTGTCAAACCTCAATGGCTGGCTCTATACCGACTTCTATCGCCCTGTAAAATGTATCGGGTACTCCAGCCTCTTGAATGATTGCTAAGGAGGTGGGCTCATTGTGAACAAAGGTGGACATGATGTTGATGGCTAGGGACCATTAGCGGAAAATAGAAATAGACAATTAACTTCCTACCAATAGGTAAGATGTTTGGGCCAAAGAGACCACGATATTCGATTATCTTCTTGACAGATTTCAGCAAGGACATGTCTATGAGCCCTCGCAGTCCTTCCGCTGTTCCAGAAGATTGCATCATGCGGTGCATAGAACGGAGAATGTGCTTCAGGACAGCAATACGCTGGATAGGCAACTCGCCTGGGAAGGGAGCTAGGTCAGGAAGTTTATCCACAGAACGCGAGACAACAAACCCAATCCAAACAGGGCACACGATTGATGACCGAGAGCATACTCTTGCACGTCAAAGTCAACTTCGTACTATGAGCGGTGAGGACAACGAAACCCGTTAAAATAGCATAGGTACTGACCTCAATCCTGTCAACAAGAACTTCGACTCCTCGAGCTGCAACGAAGAGGCTGAATGCATTCGTAAAACTATAAAGGACATTGTCGACCAGCTGCATTGTTTTCGAAATGACGGGAAGACGAAGGGCGGTCCGATTCTCCATAATCTGGATGAGCAATGGGATAAGACCGGCTCCTACAACCAAGTTTCCTCCGGAGGCATGAGATGCAAGGTAGGTAATGAATGACAGCAACGCTTCCACGAATGCATGCGATAGACGAGATTCTGGTTTGGCTATTTCAAGTGCCATGTTTCGAACCAGTGCCATGAGTATGCCGTGATTAACACCAGCATTGACAGCGGCCAAGACCTCTTGCACCTTGTTCTTGTATCTCGCAAGGGCGTCCAATGCAGCAATAGCCGACGTTTGAACCAGAATAGTTACACCTTGATCGACTTGAAGAAGTTCTGCGATGTGGGCTATGAGGTCAGGCTCGTATAGAAAGAGTGCAGATGTCGCTTGAGATTCTGAATGCGTGTGGCCATAGATGGCGATCGCGAGCAAGCGGACAACTACGAGCTTTTCGCGGTCCGTTTCCTTGCCGGGAGAGAGTGATGCAGCTCCTCTAATCCGACAAAGCAGCTCGAAAACCTCGTTTTCGGGAATGGAGTAGGTCTCAATGGCGTCAGCAAGGACATTCATCACTGGAGCCGCTAGGATGGTGCTTTCATCAAGACGAACTCGAACAGAATTTGAAGTGGGTATTGCTGGCTTGTGGGGGGACGTTGTGGGATCCCCAGCAACCGGTGCGGCACTTTCGCTGTGGGGATTGGTGCTAGTATTGGACCTATAGAAATTGAAAACAACTTCTCGGGCTTCTTGAGGAACCCTTTCCACTATCAGGACATTCTTGCCCCCGGCAAGATCCACAAGGCCAATGTCGTTCTCGCGTAAATGGGGCCATCGCTTCGCAAGAGATTGAAGACGAGCAGTTGAAATACTGAGCGCGTGAGAAACAGCTGGTTGAGCAGAGTACTGCTGCGAGGGGCGAAGAAGCAAGTTCAACGCCAGAATGAGAACATCAAGGTCTGAGGTGGATAAAAGACTGTTCAATCGCTAATACAAGACGTAAGACTTGCAAATCAAGGCAACAACTGAAGGCACGCACGTCATATGAATTGAATGTCTTGCGATTCGTCGAATTCTCCAAGAGCAGTCGTTCAAAGCGTAGGATCCCCGAGAGCAGCTCCTTGGTGGAAGGACTGAATGGGTTAAGTTGGAGCTTGTCAACAGAGTACTCGCGGATAATGGCGTCCATGATGTCGTCGAACTTGTTGAGGACCTTGATCCATGCATTTAGATCTGACCGCGGCCATTTCCAGTTGTCGACTTCTCTCAAAATTCCAATCAATTGCTCATTTGATTCGTTCAATAGCTTGGTGATGAATTCGTTAACTTGTGGAGGCTGTTTCAATTTATTCATGTGTAAGAAACGCGTCCTGGACGCCATAAAGGGTACACTCACCGGTGAAATCGCCTTCTTCGATTTGGGAGGGATCTTCATTTCCTCGGCGGAGCCAGGGGAAATCGGAAGATCTAGAGTGTTCCTGCAGCTGCAGTTCTTGAATCTTGAAGATAACAAGTGGCTCACAGCAGAAGAGGTCGCAGCCTGGACACCTAGGGCACTGCTGACGCAATTTGCCGTGTGACCATAACGCGTCCGTGACGCTGATCCCAATATGGGTAGGACGCGTCCTAGCCGACTCGGAGACACCAATTCCAACTACTTACTACATCTTGAACCTCCTTAGTTAGCACAGCATCTCCCCGTTGAACAACATTCCTTATTGCAAAAATATGCCCAAGAGAAAGTCTCCAGACAATGAGGAGGATACATTCCCTGCTGGAGCCAGTGAAGCTGCCGAAACAGAGAGCGAATCGTCTCCTAGAAAACAGACACGTAAGGTTTGTTCTATCCTCTTTGAAACAGTCCCTAGCTGCTTTATTGAACAATGATAGAAGGAAGAGAATTCTCTGCGCAAAAGGGCGAAAGTGAAACCTGACTCAGAGGAAGCTGTAAGCCCCTGCTACTCCCCAGTCAGTTGAAAGACCCGTCATCATGAGCTTCCACATTTCTACCTAACAGAATTCTGCGCTAAATAATTCGAACGATTCAAAAATTAAGATACAGAAGAACGCAGAAGGGGACAGTTTCATTGACTTGGGCAAAAAGAAGCGTGCAACCGTCAGGACATTCAAAGGCATGACCCTGCTAGATATAAGAGAGTATTATGGCAAAGATGGGGAGGAGAAGCCGGGAAAGAAAGGAATATCTCTATCTCTCGAACAGGTGCGAGGCATGAGCACCGTAAATGTGGAATGTGGCCTTTTCTGATAACTTGATATAGTGGCAATTTCTTCGAGATAACTTTGGGGCTATTGACGGTTTATTTGCAGAACAGAAGAAACGATACGAATTAGATATTGCCTAGTACCCTATGATATTGTTATGTGCTTGCTATGAGTGATTTAAAATTTTGGCGGTGCATGTCAACCTTGCAGTGTTAACCCAAAGGCAGCCTCACGGGCTCCAGTAGAGCCTTTCAGCCACCAACCATGTGCCCATGCCCTGCCTTTGCTGAGAGACGCTATGAAATCCATATAGGTCTCCAGTAATGATATTCGGGTATACAGTAATTCATACTTCCTGGGACCGATTCCATCAACCATAGACAGAATTTCAATAAGACGGTACGTACCACCAAGACCTGAAATAATCACATAACAAGCGAGTAGACAGTAGCCCATAGTCTTGGGTCCTCTGGAGAAGCGACCTTCTCTCGTCTTCCCAAACAGCCCGCGCGCAATACTTGGCCATTATCAAGAAAACTCGAATCTATCTTCACTGTCAGAGAGAAAAAACTAGACACCGGGATTAAGAAGAGAAAGGCACATTTGAATGGGTGGTCATCAAAGCAAGATCCAGACTCCTACATGTCCCCTCCATTAGCAGACCGGCGAGAAGAAGATTGTAGATCGTTGCGCACCGTGTTAAATCATTCAACTTCAGGACCATAAGCACTCGTCGAGGTACTCGTCGAAGAACATCTAATACCGACAGCAGGACACCATCTCCTTGGGACACTGCAAGCCGTATGGCATCTTTTTCTTCGTCGGTCTGGGGAACCATGTCAATCACGCTGGATGCACGTCGGAATTTAGTGTCCTCAATCTCATCCCAACTACCCTCCAACGCTGCTCGCCCGGTGATAGCAGCCTCAAACACGGGATACTAGATGCTTGATTAGTAGAGGGGAGACACAGAGCCTGACAACATTTACCAAATCCGAGTCAATGTTGCCGACTAACTCAGCATACTTCCGTCTTTCTTGGAGGACAGTTGGTGAAGCGGGCGCCATGAGAGAGAGCCAGAGCTTGCTATAATTGACTCGCAATTCGTGATCGATGTCGAAATACAGGCCGTGATCCAAAAGAACTATCTCAAAGTTATAGGGCGATCTTGACCCTGGAGGAGATGGCCTTATCAAGAGATTACCTGGCCAAAAGTCAGTTGGCTTGGCACTGTCTCTTGTCAAAAAGGCTTTACCAGGGTGTGGATCCTGAAACGCAAATAAATAGATAAAATTAGCCGAAGTAGTAGCACGTACTGCATGAAACCATCCATTCAGTAGCACCATTTGATTAAATATCCGCGACAATTCAATGGCGACCTTGTTCCGATCGACACTATGGTCAGCGAAGTAAGCTAGATCGTCTACTCGTCCTCCTTGTATGTATTCCATGATCAACACTCTCTTTGAGCTAACAATCACTTGTGGGATATAGAGAGAGGTGCGGACGTCACGAAATTCGGCTTCCGCTCGGCTGGCGTTGTCAGCTTCAATGACGAAGTTCATTTCCTTGGGTAAATTGGTTCTCATTTCTTCCTGTGTGAAGCGGGGTGGTCATAAAAAGACAAACCACGTCAGAAAATTGGGACGTACTCCTAGCCAGGTGAATTCAAACTGGGGGAACCAATATTTAACCCATCCTTGTCGCGTCCATCGTAAAGGGAAACGGGTGGTGAGTAAAGGGACCACGAACCGAGAGTGACATCCACCATCTCCATGTCTACTTCGCAAAATTCGGCCAGATGGGGGTGCTGTATCTGGTTGAAATGCGTCGGTGAGAAGTAGGGGGGGAGAAATCAAGAATACATACCTTGACGGCTACGCGCGCTCCTGACGCTTTGTGATGTCCAACATGCACTTGGGCTAAGCTTGCAACCCCAATAGGATTAGGGTCGAAGTCGTCGAAAAGTTCTTCAATGGGAGCTCCCATATCTGACAAGAAAAGGGTTTCCAGGTCGTCGTACTGAGTAGGCTCGCATTTATCTTGAAGAACCTTCATAGTGTCCGTCCATTCCTTGGGGAGAACAAACATCGAAGCCATATGCTGACCCATCTTTATGAAAACGCCTTGGGGAACGTTAAAGTAAGCATCCATATCCTACCATGTATGATAGATAAGGCGACTGACCTCCATTGGCCAACAGCGCCTTCAGAACTCGTCCTGCGCTTCGCGTATGGCACGCCGCATATGCTTCGTTCTCTTCACTACTAGATTCATATTTTTTCCCCATGGTGATTTTATAGTCAATGGCACTTAGGACAGCAGCACCTGTTCAAGGTGAGACCAAGAGCGCGTCGTTTGAAGACTTAGTAACAAACTAACCTCCTACCCTTGAGCATCTCGCAATAGCCAGCACACCATGCCTGAAAGGCTGCGAAGTTTCATAGGCAATAAAACATGCCGTGCCGACTATTATCGCGCTAGTCGGGTAGAAAATCCATGGACTACTAGTCGCTGGTTTGGGTCCAAGACGGTGACTGTGATGGGTCTGAGTCCTTAGAGATCGTATGCACCAGTTCTGCACTTGAAGTGCATTGCGGCTTCGACACAACACGGGCAGGTTCAGTCGCGAGAATGCACGTCGTCCCGCGACGGAAAGCATAACGCCGATGGCGGTTCGGACTAAGAGGTTGATGCTGACCTAGGCCACGTGTGACGGGGCGCTGAGATAAGCGAGTCCCGGCACACGAGAGCCTCAAAGACAGGGTAAGACGATGTATTCAAGACTGACTACTCTACGATCTACATACGTCCTTATATACTGTATTGGTTATCTTATCAGTTATCTGGTGTAGATACTTATGTAATCCTAATCCGTTCCATATGCCCTCCAGGAATTGTGAAACAATTTCTAAGCTAGAGGAAGGAAGAAATTACCGAAGTCCTTGTTGTGTGACTTTCCTTTCCTTTTTCCCTTCCCATCGTTGTGGTGGTTCCCGGCGTTGTTCGAGGCCGAGTTAAGAATGATGTCATTGACCTGAGTCACGCGCTTTGGTCCTCCGAAAGACCGACGGACCTTGAGTGCTTCCTCGAGATACTTGTCGTTAGGAAAATCAACTCGAATAGGAAACAATGCAGCTGATGGGGGTGACACGACCTGACCGTTGATGTCGACAACCGTGAGGCGATTTGGTTGGACGGGGTTGCGATGGAGGAGGCGGACGAACTCGCGATAGCTGAGCGGCTCGAAAAGGGGTTGGGCCGGTATCTCCGGAATGGAGACTGCCTTGTACGCAAAGCTGATGAACGCTTTGAGAGTGGCGGCGTGGATGGAGAACGTCTTGCCGGTGTCGGGGTCGAGTATACCGAAGTGGAAGTCGTCGAGACGTGTGATGTAGGCGAAACCGGCGACGGGAACGAAGAGTGGGATGAGATTCCCACGGAAGTCGACGGGGCGGACAATGCCCTGGACGACGGGAGGTTGCCCAACAGATGGGTGCTCGGTGATGGGGTTGTGTGCAGAACCATCGAGATGGTCCGTGAGGGAAGCCTGGCCAAACATGGGGTTATAGTTGGGGGTGGACACGTTGGTGTTTGTGTCAGCGGTGTCAGGCGCTCCGTTGATTGATAGATTGCCCATGGATTCCGTAACTTGAGCGGGAGCGATCTGAGAAGCAGAGGATTCGGTGTTGATAGACATTCTGTGTGAGTGTTTGCACAGGACGAGTAACACGAGCCCAATATATAGATAGACGACCAAGCACATGGGCGCCTGTTCAACATCATGACATCGTGTCATCGAACTCTCAAAATCTGACGTCAGTGCCATTGATCCAACGAAAATTTGAGGATCATTGTTATCTATTGTGCCCAGACCTCTAGAAAGTTCTGAAATATTCTTTGCCCCCTTTGCTTCGAGGTACTGTTGAAGCTCAATTAAATGGCTTACTTGACTGTATGGTAGCCAAGTTTTGTCTCCGGATTTCCACAGGACTTCAAAAATCGCATTTTGACCTTCATTTTTATGAGATATAATTTTTTCTACTGCCCATTCGCCCTCCAAGTCTTCGAGATCGAAGACTTGAGTGTCCAGACGACCCGGAAACAACCGGTCATCATTTGGAATGTGGATTCTAAGTAACGAGGAATGGAAGACATCGTGGACCCCTCGCTTTCTGAGACTAGGCGGAAGTTTAATCCGAAAAGAATTATTTCCGAAATCCTCAGTAATGAGGTATGGCCCGATAAACCGAGGAGCAAGTTTCCGACTCAAGCCCTTGGGTAGATTAATATTTTTCGTTGAAATGTAGACATAATCATTTAATTTGAACGGAGTGACGATCCGCTTTCTATTAGCATTACGAACTGATTTCATGCGAGCCGCTATTATTGAATCATGTGCTCGCATTATGGCGGTCTTCATGCGCTTCGCGAACATTCTTACACCAGGGAATTCGGATGGCTTGTTTGAGTCCCAAATGAACGAACGTGGCATTCTTCCCATGTTAAGGAAAAATGGTGCGAAGCCCGTACTCTCCGAGCGAGCCGAATTGATGGCAAATTCAATAGCAGGTAATTTCTGCACCCAGTCCTTCTGAGTTTGCCCGATACAATGGCGAATCATCTGGGTGACGGTTTTGTTCGCACGCTCAGTAGCGCCGTCCGACTCTGGATGATAGGCGCTCGACATGTTGAGCTTCGTTCTGATCAATTTGTGCAACTCTTCCCAGAAATGACTAGTGAACAACGTGTCACGGTCGCTTACAATAGATCTTGGCAGTCCATGGTGTTTGTAGACCTCTGAGAATATTAATTCAGCAATGTCCTTTGCAGTGTAAGTCGTCCTCGAGGGTACGAGATGAACTAATCCAGAAAATAGATCAATGATGACAGTGATCGAGTCGAAACTTCCATCGCGATTGGATGATTCCGGAAGCGGTCCTACAAAATCAATACCGATCGAGTCCCAGGGTTGCCCAGGAATGTCTAACGGGTTGAGCAGGCCATATGGTTTGTGATTATTATCTTTACTGTGCTTGCAAGTCCTGCAAGTTTCACAATACTTCTCAATGTCAGGAGACATGGTCTTCCACCAGACATACTCACGAAGGTAATCATATGTCTTCTTAAAGCTTAGGTGCGCGAGAACGGAGTGGCCTTCCGTGAGATCACAA